TTTTTATTCAAGACAGGGTTTCATCATGTTGGCCAGGCTGCTCTTGAACTCGACTTCAGGTGGTCCACCGGCCTCAGTCTCCCAAAGTGCTAAGATTATAGGCATGAGCCATAATGCCTGGCCTAGAATACTATGTTTCAGAGGTACAGAAATCACTTAGTCAAGACTATAAGATGCCCCTCCAGAATACAACAAGTGAATAGGTAGAGTTGTCTTCTGCTTAAGTGCTACAAATGACTTAAAGTTTACTACTTTTTCAAGCTTCTTCATTCTGGTTTTTTATTTTTATTTTTATTTTTATTTTTATTTTTATTTTTGAGACGGAGTTTCGCTCTTGTTACCCAGGCTGGAGTGCAATGGCGCTATCTCGGCTCACCGCAACCTCCACCTCCTGAGTTCAGGCAATTCTCCTGCCTCAGCCTCCTGAATAGCTGGGATACAGGCACGTGCCACCATGCCCAGCTAATTTTTTGTATTTTTAGTAGAGACGGGGTTTCACCATGTTGACCAGGATGGTGTCGATCTCTTGACTTCGTGATCCACCCGCCTCGGCCTCCCAAAGTGCTGGGATTACCGGCTTGAGCCACCACACCCAGCCCTATTTTGTTTTTTAACTACTCTGGCTGTGTACAAATTCTTTCTTCTATGAGTGAAAATGTCTTTTCCATTACTTCACTTCTTAGCCTTGTTCTCTTTCTTAGAACTGCATAGAATAAGCCCAATTTTGTCATTTTAGAAGTGGTTAATAGAAGAACCTTTGCTTAAAATCTAAGGTGCTCTGGCCGGGCGCGGTGGCTCAAGCCTGTAATCCCAGCACTTTGGGAGGCCGAGGCGGGTGGATCACAAGGTCAAGAGATCGAGACCATCTTGGTCAACAAGGTGAAACCCCGTCTCTACTAAAAATACAAAAAAATTAGCTGGGCATGGTGGTGCGTGCCTGTAATCCCAGCTACTCAGGAGGCTGAGGCAGGAGAATTGCCTGACCCCAGGAGGCGGAGGTTGCGGTGAGCCGAGATCGCGCCATTGCACTCCAGCCTGGGTAACAAGAGCGAAACTCCGTCTCAAAAAAAAAAAAAAAAACTAAGGTGCTCTAATAAAACTAGAGATCAGATTATGAATTAGAAAGTGGGACTATTTAAAAAACCCATTAGGGTAAGCACAGTAGAAAGAGATAGGGATTTATCTTCTATGCCATATCAACTAATAAATAGCATAAAATTAACTGTACTCAGAACTAGAGCCTGTTTCTTTCCTTTGATCCACAAATGGAGCCCTTAATATGTGAATGGCATTTCATTACAAATTCTGGGGGAATAAGTAAAAGAAAAAGAATATTTGAGTTGTAAGATCTTGCTCTCTTAGAGCATATGATTTCTTTTGAGAGAAAAGATTTGTATGATTATGTAGATATAATAGGTGAGCACATGCCAAATGACCAGTATGCCAAGGGAGAGCTGAAGGAGTTCCAATAAAGAGATTATGGTGGGCCGGGAAGGAGTATATCCTCTACTAAGAAATACCTAGCCACATACAGTGCCTCATGCCTATAATCCCAGCACTTTGGGAGGCCGAGGCAGGAGGACAGCTTGAGCCCAGGAGTTCAAGACCAGGTTCAAGATGAGGTCTCACTCTGTCACCCAAGCTAGAGTGCAGGGGTACCATCTCAGCCCACTGCAACCTCTACCTCCTGGGTTCAAGCAATTCTCCTGCCTCAACTTCCCAAGTAGCTGGGACTACAGGCTTGCACCAACATGCCCAGCTAATGTTGTATTTTTATTAGAGACAAGTTTCACCATGTTGGCCAGTCTGGTCTCAAACTCCTGACCTCAGGTGATCCACCCACCTCAGCCTCCCAAAGTGTTGGGATTACAAGAGTGAGCCACTGCGCCCTGCCTCTGCACGAAAACAGTTGTTTAAACTAGCCCGGCGTGGTGGCGCACACCTGTAGCCTCAGCTACTCAAGAGGCTGAGGATCTTGTGAGCCTAGAGGTCAAGGCTATTGTGAGCCATGATTGTGCCACTACGCTCCAGTCTGGGCAACAGAGCAAGTCCCCATCTCAAAAAATAAATAATTAAAAATATATGCCTTACTCACTGAGTTTCTCTTTAGAATGGGATAGACCAGACTTTATTCATAATTTGTATTCTTCTTCCCTTCCATTTCTCTTTCTGCCATCACCCCTGGCAATTATTAGGCCTTAATGAGCCATCAAACAGTATTTACTGAATAGAATTGGCTTGTCTCCCATACTCTGTTAATGATGTTTAAGATGTTACATTTTATAGTAATCTTTTTTCTTATTCTACTTTGCTTTCTGAATTTTTTAAGTGAATATGAATTTTTTTCTTTTTCTTTTTCACCAAATACTCAGACTTCAAGGAGAGAATATGTATTTTTAAGCTAAAATGCACATACAAAGATCTTCACACCTATTGTGGGAAAATATGTGAAAGCCACTTTTTTTAAAGATATGTGAAAAAAAAAATCCTGTTCACTCTTTTGAAATGGGTTCTGTTAGGATCTTTGCCAATGTACATTTAATGTCCGGCAGCTTCTTCTGAATGGCTATCTTGGGCCAACCTTAGAGATTAAAATAAGTGGATTATGTGGCATGATGACAGTAATGAGCTATTGATTTAGCAGCAAAGCTTTGCTTATAGTTTCTTATTTTTGTCTGCCTGATTTCCTTCAAGAACTGCTTTATCCTGTTTCTTTCCTCTTCCAGCGGAACGGAAGCCCCCCCTTTTCAATATGAATGCAATGAGTGCCTTATATCACATTGCCCAGAATGACTCCCCAACGTTACAGTCTAATGAATGGTAAGACTCTGCTATCATTTTAAATCTCTAGGAAAGTCACCATATGTACTTGGCATTTTTATTAAATTACATTTTAAATATCTGACCTAGAAAGCATTTCGTTCCTTCACTGTATGTTGCTGTGACACTGATGCCTCACAAGCATCCGATGTCCGCACATGCCCACACGTAGAGATTTATTTATTTCTGCCTTCACCGTGGCTTCCACTGTGTTCTTAATGTGTCTAGTCACTGAAATCCTGCAGGGAACATGCCCTGCTCCCCTCCTAACAAGTCTACTTTCCCAAGTCCTGATGGTCTTGTATTAAATCATCTCAGCTGACATCACTTTTCTGCAGAGATAAGGGGCCCTCTATGACATCATTATTTTTCCAGTTATCTTTTTTTTTAACTATATGTGTACTTAAATGTGTTGAGATAGAACATACGCTATCTATTCAGAAACATTGTTCCTTGCTGAAAATTATGATACTTTTATAACTATTTGGGCCACAAGAGTTATCTTAAAAGGGGTAATATCAAAGAAGAGTAGGTAAAATGGAACTTGTAAGATAGGAAGTATTTTTATTCAGGAAGCTTATTCTTGGGTTATCCATCCGTCGTGCTTCAAATTTAACTACTTCATTTTGGATTGTGGGTAGTAGAAGAGTTAACAATTGGTAATTAAGAATATAGAGTTGAGACTATGTGAATTGTTGTCTTTGGAGAGAAAAATGTATATAAAACTTTTTTTGAGATGGAGTTTTGCTCTTGTTGCCCAGTCTGGAGTGCAATGGTGCAATCTTGGCTCACCACAACCTCCGCCTCCTGGGTTCAAGCGTTTCTCCTGCCTCAGCCTCCTGAGTAGCTGGAATTACAGGCATACCACCACGCCCAGCTAATTTTGTATTTTTAGTAGAGATGGGGTTTCCCCATGTTGGTCAGGCTGGTCTCAAACTCCTGACCTCAGGTGATCCGCCTGCCTCGGCTTCCCAAAGTGCTGGGATTACAGGTGTGAGCCCCCTGCTCCCAGCCATATAAAACTATTTTATATAAACATAGTATTTTTGTTTTCTGTTATATATTATGATTTGACCTTACTTATATATTAACATGTTTTTATATGTTGATTAACTTGAAACTGTGTCTTCAGTCATCCAAAAGAATTAATTTTAGATATCATAACTTGAAAATGGTCCAGTTCTCCTGATATTCCAAAGTGTTTTATTTTTTAAAATCTCCTAAAATGCAAAATTTTCCCTTTAATGAAAATTGTTTTAAGTAATCAATGTGCTCTACAGACCCTGAGTTTATTTTCTTTTGTGTATTTGCACACACAGGACAGACTCCTTTAGGAGATTTGTTGATTACTGCTTGCAGAAAATACCTCAGGAAAGGCCAACATCAGCAGAACTATTAAGGGTAATTTTTCAAGTTTATATTTGAGGAGGGGGATTTAAAGTCATGTTATAGTGGAATATAATAAATCATTCCTGTGGCAGCTCATCATGACAAAGTAGTTTAGAATGTGCTGCCTTGTCATTTATCCAGAGATAAGTAGCTAGGCATAGAAATAGCAAGATTATTGCAATGTATGTGCTATGCATTCCCTGTGGATAGCTTTGGCCCTATCTTTTCCATTTTTCCCCTCCCTCCCTGTTCCTTTTTTGCCTTATGACAAATATTTCTCCTCCTTACTCAAGTCATCATTGTGATGTTCTTGGGCCTAACATCTGCATAAACATTAATCCAGTGGTCTCAGGACAGAGCTGGCCAGTGGTTCAAACATCAGCTCTGGGATTTTCAGTTAGGTTGTTGCCAAATCCTTGGGCAGTGAAGGTATATGATAACTATATAGAATAGACATCTACATAGTATTATGACATGTTAGTGATAAGAGTATCATGTTAACCACATTTCTTTGATTTAACTATCACATTTCTGAGCATCTCTTTTCATGTAATATTTTACTGTAGACTTTATACATAGGCAGTGTGTTGCATCGATATCAGTGTAGTATGTAGAAATCTTTTACAGTGGAAGTGTTTTCTTATTTGGCACACGATGGTCCAGATTTCTTTAATCCTTTTTTGCATGTATGCTTTTCAACCCTTTTTGTTTCTTCCTTCTCTAGAATGGCTGGCTTTTGTTGTGGAGCAGTTTTGTTTGCTTGTTTTTTTTTTTTTTTCTTTTCCTTTTAAATTTGTAGCAGTACTTAGTGTCCAACAGAAAACACTCCATCTGCTCAACAGTATCTCGACTGCAAAACTTCTCTTACTGTTGGTGGATAGATAATGACATAGCCCAGTCATTACCACCGTGGCAACAGTGACTTGTTTGCTTGTTTTTAAGAAAAACTCAGAAGAGTTGTATTGCCTCAATTTGTAAAGCTTAAAAATGTCTGCCTTTATAATTGAAGAACTCCTTGACTAGGTGACAAGTTAAGTTTTTTCTTTCCTGTGAGCAGTAGGCCACAGGAGGATGGTAAGAAGAGAAGCAACAGGACAAAGGGCTTCATCTTGTTCGCCTTTGTTGTGGAGCCCTTACATGTTTTAAACATGAACTACTTTGTATACTTTAACAACGATTTCATGTTTCCTTAGGGGGAAATGGCAATCAGAACAAAACACTAGAAACACAGAATATCTTTATTACTTTGAAGTAGACCAAGATCTTAAAAACAAACAAAAAACAAGGACATAAAAATTACTACCATAAAAGGGGAAAAAATGTGGAGCTGGGTATGGTGGCTCATGCCTAAAATCTCAGGATCTCAGGAGGCTGAGGCAAGAGGATCTCATGTGCCCAGCATTTTGAGGTTATAGTGAGGCATGACTGTGTCACTGCACTCCAGCCTGGGCAACAGAGTGAAAACGCCATCTGTTTAAACAAAAAATGGAAATAAGTGAATAAATTTGGGCTTTGTTAAAGTTAAGGGTTATAGACAACAAAAAAATGTAAAAAGCAAATGGGTAAAGGTAAAGAAAGAAATGGAAGAGAAAAAACATAACAGTTTAAAAAATCATAAGCAATGAACATATAGTAAACCAACCCATTTAGGATGTTTCCAATGGTGAATAAGCTTAACTAAATAAAGTAGAGTTAAGTGTAAAAAATAAAAGTTCTAAAGATGAGTATAAAGAAAATGACACATTTGGAAGACCTAGGAGATCTAATATATGCCAACCTATTATTCCTGAAAAAGAAGACAAAACACATGGAGAGAAGATATTTAAAGATAGCCCTGAAGAAAACTTTTCTGGAAATAAGTGTCTGGATCTTTCTTTTATTTGATTTGGTCTTTATTTAATGGACCAAATCAAATGGGTCAGCTATTTATTGAACAAACATTTGCTAATTGTCTACTGGATGTCAAGCACTATTCTAAGCACAAGAATACAGTAGTACACAGTAAAAAACATAGTCCCTGCCTTTGTGAAACTTACAAGAAGTAGTAAGAAAATAAATAAATAGGCTGGATGCAGTGGTTCAGGCCTATAATCCCAGCACTTTGGGAGGCTGAGGCAAGTGGATCACAAGGTCAGGAGTTCGAGACCATCTTGGCCAACATGGTGAAACCCTGTCTCTACTAAAAATACAAAAATTAGCCAGGCATGGTGGCAGATGCCTGTAATCTCAGCTAGTCTCGAGGCTGAGACAGGAGAATCTCTTGAACCTGGGAGGTGGAGGTTGCAATGAGCCAAGATCACGGCACTGCACTCCAGCCTAGGTGACAGAGCGAGACTCCATCTCACAAAAAAAAGAAAGAAAGAAAGAAATATATGTTATAGTGCCAGTTGATGTTATGTATTGTGCAGAAAAATAAATTAGACAAGCATCAAGATTGACAGGTGCTGCTGTTTTTTTAGGTAAGGAGAAGGCCATTCAAGGTGACGTTTAAGCAGATTCCTGAAGAGTGGGGGCCATGAAACTGATCTTTTTTGATCAATAAGTCATATCCCTGGTGAAGTCCCTGAAAGATTCATACAAACAGATTGAAAAGTTTGTTTTGGGGTGGAAAAAACAGCTGGCTCCAGAACTACCTCTTCAGGAGCAGTCAAAGACAGAAAACAATAGAGCAATGTTTGCCTCGTTCTCAGGGAAAGAAAACATAAGCCAAGAATTGTGAGCCAGCCAAGGTGTTCTTAAATTATAAAGGCAGCTGAGATCTTCAAGCCCCACAGATTTAGGCAATGCAGCCTTTCGGAGCTTTCCTTTTAAAAATTGCTCAGTAACAGAATCCAGCCAATCTAGAGATGAAGCAAAAAGAAGAAAAAGAGGGAGAAAGGCAGGCAGGAAGAATGAATGAGGGACTGGAGAAACTAGTAAAAGGGCTGGAGGTAAACACTGAATTTAAAGAGCCCCCCCAAAAAAATATTTATTTATTTTGCATGGCTAAAGAAGCTGTATGTTCTTCATTTGGAATAGGTCATACAAATTTCCAAAAGGCAAAATATGGTAGAAGGTAGAACATGAGGCCGAGCATGGTGCCTCATACCTGTAATCCCAGCACTTTGGGAGGCCAAGGCAGGCAGATCACTTGAGCCTAGCTGTTCAAGACCAGCCTGGACAACATGATGAAACCCCCATCTCTACAAAAAAATACAAAAGTTAGTGAGGTGCAGTGGCATGTGCCTGTAGTCCCAGCTACTTGAGAGGCTGAGGCAGGAGAATTGCTTGAGCCTGGGAGGCAGAGGTTGCAGTGAGCTGAGATCCTGCCATTGCACTCAAGCCTGGGTGACTGGGGTGAAACTTTGGTCTTAAAAAAAAAAAAAAGAAGATCCGGGCTCAGTGGCTCACGCCTGTAATCCAGCGTGGCCAACATGGGGAAACCCCATTTCTCATTTCTAAAAATACAAATATTAGTCAGCTGTGGTGGTTCACACCTGTAGTCCCAGCTACTCGGGAGGCTGAGCAGGAGAATTGCTTGAACCTGGGAGGTTGCAGTGCGCCAAGATCATCATCCTGCACTCCAGCCTGTGCAACAGAGAGAGACTTCATCTCAAAAAATAAGAAGAGGCCAGGCACGGTGGCTCACGCCTATAATCCCAGCACTTTGGGAGGCCGAGGTGGATCACAAGGTCCAGAGATCGAGACCATCCTGGTCAACATGGTGAAACCCCATCTCTACTAAAAATACAAAAAATTAGCTGGGCATGGTGGCGTGTGCCTGTAATCCCAGCTACTCAGGAGGCTGAGGCAGGAGAATTGCCTGAACCCAGGAGGCGGAGGTTGCGGTGAGCTGAGATCTCACCATTGCACTCCAGCCTGGGTAACAAAAGCAAAACTCCTTCTCAAAAAAAGAAAAGAAGAAGAGAAGGTAGAACATAAAAAATAAATCTCCTTTCCATTCCAGGCACCTCACTAGCAACCACTGCACCTATTTTGTGCCTCTCCTTCTAGAGATATTTTATGCATATAAAAGTAAATATCGTTTTCATTTTTGCACAAATGGCAGCAAACCGTAGAATCCATTCCATCCTGATTTTTCTTTTTACTTTACAGTGTGCTTAGGATATTGCTTTGTATTACTACATGCAAAGCTACCTCATTCTTTTTAATGGCTCCATAATATTCTCAGATGGACCATAATTTGTTTAATCAATCCATTTAGGATGTTTCCAGTCTTTTGCTATTACACACTGTGCTGCAGTGAATATCCTTGTGTATATGTCATTTTGTACCTGTATAAAAATATCTAAAGAATAAATTCCTAGAAGTGGAATTGCTCATCAATGTGGATTTTAAGTTGAGATATATATTGCCCATTTGTCCTTCAAAACAGTTGTACCAATTTATAGTCCCACTATGAATATATGAAGACTGATACTTTTTGAACTTTGTTAGTCAAATCAGTGAAAACTTTTCTCACTATAGTTTTAATTCGTATTTCTCATTATGGGAGATGTTGAACATCTTTCTCATATGTTAAAAAGCCATTTCTATTTCCTTTTTAATATATAGTAGATCTTGGATTTTATTTTTTCCTATTTCTATTTTGACATTCTTTATGCTAGTAGGAAGAGTTACGCAAAAATTTGTTATAAGGAATAAGGTAAAAAATCTACCCTTTCCCACCCCCAGTTAAGCTATCTAGTTACTCCCAAGTATTTTTCAATAATCCATCTTCTCCACACAGTTTTGCGCTGACATTAAAACATTGCTTTTACATTTAATCCATTTAAATAAACAACTGAAGTGAAATTATCAAAATGGTTAAAGGACAGTTGTAAATGTTATAAACATTTGCAATGTAAAAATAATGTAATTAGAAAAATCTAGGAACAGGAAAAGCATATGCATACTAATTTCCTTATCTTTCAGAGTAGATAGTTAATAATATTGCTTAAATATATAGACAAAAGAACTAAAGTAACTTCAGTCTTGTAAAGACTTTAACAATTTTTTTTTAGCTTTAGAGGATCTTTTAGAAACAGATAACTCGTTTGGTGAAGAAATTACAACTAAAATTAAGCATTTGTTTTATTTTTATTTTTCTGTGTGTGACAGAGTCTCACTTTGTTTCCCAGGCTGGAGTGCAGTGGCGTGATCTCGGCTCACTGCAACCTCTGCCTCCCAGGTTCAAGCAATTCTCTTGCCTCAGCCTCCTGACCAGCTGGGATTATAGGCACACGCCATCATGTCTGACTAGTTTTTCCATTTTTAGTAGACACAGAGTTTTACCCTGTTGGCCAGACTGGTCTCAAACTTCTGAGCTGAAGTAATCCACCCGCTGGACATCCCAAAGTGCTGGGATTACAGGCATGAGCCGTCACGCCCAGCCTATGCAATCGTTTTAATTCAGTCTCTTCTAATTTTGTTAAATTCAAGTATGCCTTAATTCAATTGATTATACTTAAAATTAGCTTGTATAATAAGATTCCTATGTAAAATGATTTCTAGATATTCATTGTTCTGAGAGAAAGAGACACTAAGAGAGAGGCATGTCTAAAATGATATTCTGTAACTTAACAATATTTATGTATTTATTTTAAGATGGTAGAATTTGGGGTGATTTTCTTTTTTTATGCATTTTTCTGTGTTGCTTGAATGTTGAAAGCAAATGTATTTTTGAGAACAACAAAATTGTTCTTTTAAAAGAGTCTGAGGACATTCCAGTTGTAAGGGTTTGGAGAACAGTGGGCTTTGAAAAATGACAAGGGGATGGAATTGCAGGCAGAGAGAACATGGAGATGTGAAGGCAAAGGTATTCTTGGGTTTAGAATTACCTAGAATGTACTATTGCATAGGAAGGAGGAGTAGCAATGACCAGATTTAATCCTAGACATACAGGCAGGAACCTGGCTGTAAAAAGCTACACTTTATCTAAGAGACAGTGAGACATTAACATGTTGAGTGTATCTGTTTGTAAAAGGCTTAAACAGGTAAGAGTTTATCTCATGTAACAGGAAGTCTAGGACATTATAAAAGGAGGTGGAGTAAGCAGTACAAAGCTCTAAGCAGCTCAACAATGTCGTCA